TATATATATATATATATATATATATATATATATATATATATATATATATATATCCTTGATTGTGTAACTAGAGAGGCGTTAACGTAATCAACGAAAATGTCCTATTTTTATAAGTAGCTTATTATTTGATAGACCACGCGTTGTGAGGCAACAAAACCAAAGTTAAACCCAAAAAATATCACGTATGTATAGTAATTATGCCGCGCGTTGAAACCGCAGAGATAATTGTATAAATTATTACACATAACGGGGGAGTGTGGTGGTGCGTCGGGAGATTTTGACGGGATGAAACGACGACGAGAGACACGGCGCGCGAATCGATCGGCTTCGGAAAAATCGACATGCGAGCGGCCGATCGCTATAAAGCTCGAGGTATAGTCACGTAAGATAGGCGTAAGAAACGACCGCTATTTTGTATGAATCCCAATGTCGTACAAATGTTCGTCGTAATCACATATCCCAGTCCCTGCGGTGAGTGATTCGTAACGTCACGCAGAATGTTCTTCATTCCCGTTTGTCACCTCACTCGCTACGTGTAAACGTTCCTACTGGGCGATATTGAGCGCCGTAAAAGGCCCCGTTTGTAATCTAGTCACAATAAAAACCAATTCTATTCTAAAGCAACGACTCGGAACTGTATCCCCTACCCGTGCGAGAGTTCGCCGATAAGATTACAATTTTTATTTCGTACTAATTTGTTTTACGATCTAGCGGTTTTAAGATCGGCCTCTTTTACTTTACAAAAGCCACTATAGTGAAACAATATCATATTTTGGGACAAGAAGCACAATGAGAAATATAATATAACAAATCTTATTCAAGGAAAACTGTAAGATTTTAAAAATAGACTCCCGTCTTCCAAAGATTAAGGAACCTCTAAAAGAGGGTACAACTTTTTTTGTGACCGTTCAAAGATCGCTTTATTTCTACATTTTCTTATGTATTTTTCTTCACAGGAACTAAAAATTATTATAATAATGACATTACGTTCAAGGAAAAATTCGTACACTGAAGGAAAAAAATCCTTATTCACACTGTTACGAAATCGCTGTCTCAGTTATGCTTCAAACATTTAAAAACTAATTCAGAGTTGC